CTGTTATCAATTTATTTTTGCAGTAAGATTATTAAATATCTTCTTTTTAAGGGAAATTTTAAATTTACATTGTTATTAACTATGGTCACTATGTAGTCTAAAACATATTCCTCCAATTTAACTGAAACTTTGTACATTTTGATCAATCTAATTCCTCTTCCTTTTCCTTCTTCTCCCCTTCAGCTGCTGGTAATTAACTTTCTACTGTATGATATTGGTTTTTTATGATTTCACATGTGAAAGCACACGATATGTGTCATTCTGTGTCTACTTACTACAGTTAACATAACATACTCTAACTACATCTATGTTGTTCCTTGACATTTATATGAGTTTTTCCATTTTATTTTTCAGAAGAACTTCAGGGAGAGATTGGTAATTTTTTGACTGTTTTTCTTATTGACAGATTTCTTAGATCTTTTTGCCATCTCTACTCTTCACTTCATCACTATCCTCTCTTTGCTTTTCCTTCTTGTGGATTTCAAATTAGGCTATGTATTTTCTTTTTTGGCTTCCTGAAATTATCTCATATTAAATTTCCTTCCCTCTCTTCCTTTCATCTCTATTCCTTTCTGTGCTATATATCCTTCTTCTTCTCTCTTGGAGATAATTGATGTAAGTTTATTATAAGGTCATGAGATGAAAATAATTAGGTCAAGAGGAAAATAGCTGTTTCCCCTCAATAGAAAACTTACTTTAATTGTGTTCCACAACACATCTTCTCTAGTAGAGAGTTCATTATTTTTTCACATGATGATGTCTTCACTCTTACCTATGGATATCAGACTATGGGTATGAGAGAAATAAATTCCTCCTTTTATTTGCCTTTTAAATGTTTGTATAAACTAATATTAAGTGTAGTCTTGAGAATTGCTGATCCATATCATTTGACAATATTTTCAAATAGTCAAAAATGTTCAATATTTTTCCATGATTTTTCCGACAATTTTCTCTTTTCAACCATAGTTACTACTCTACTGCTCTTTCTTCTTTTTAGTTTACTCAGTTATAAATTGTTCTTTCATGACCTTAGTATGCATTGTTATTCATGTAAATTCCATTGGAAATATATCTTTAAAATCTAAGACTTTGTTTTAAGATAGTTCTACAAATTTTAGTATCACATTATAGGAATTTCAAGGAATCTCAAAAAATGTGTTGAAAGTGTGAATTATGAAAAAATTGTACATAGATTTCAAAATTTTTTGCACCAAAAATAAAACAAGTTTTCATTTCATTTCATACAATATTTCTGAAGTATATTTTATTTAACCATTCATATATCAGGCAGTTTTCTTCCAATTGGAGTGAGGTATTCATTTGGAATATACTTTAGAGTTTTCTTTTATTGATAATGAAATGAATAAGATGTGTCCAGTGTTGCAGGCACAAACACTGGCAGATATATGGTTTAGATTGTGTATTCTTCATAATATTAACAAAACTTATCTCATGAAGTGATGTTTTGTATTTTTTCTCTCAGATAGGAGGAAGGCTCAATATAAGTCTGGTAAGTAATTATTATCTCTTGGAAACCTCCATTTCTTTATCTCCCATGGGATCAGTCCATATCTAAGTACTATAGCAATTATACGATGCATGCTGACATTGCTTCTCTCAGAATAGGCTCAATTTAAGTTCAGTGAGTAATCATTCTCTCTCAAAATAATTCCATTTCTCTGACTCTTTTGGATTCAATCCCTATATTAACCTCTATAGTAATTGGTTATGATACAGAAATGCAACAAAAATGCCTATTTGGCAAAGAAGAATTTGGGGCACAATGTTGACAAATTTTTTCCACTGTTTAAGGAATTTTATTAAAGTAAGAATTTTATAATCCAAATTATGTTTCCTTTCTCAGTCATAACTTCTGTTCCTTAAAATAGAGCTGACATTCTGTGCTATTATACAGTAAAAGAATTATAACTTTGAAGAAAGGAATGCTTTACATTTTTTATTTTGCTGAAAAATCTTTTTTCCAGGGTCTATAAAACATTAATTTGTCTTTATATTTTACTATTTTTGTTTTTGTTATTGTTGCTTTCAAATCAATAAGTAATCTAGGACTAGCATTATGCTTGCCAGATCTGGCAATTGATTGGTACATAGAGTTCAAAATTTCTTCTCTTTTTTAAAATTAATTTCATATTTTGCAATGTTTACTTCTTAATATTTAAATTTTTATGTTTATATATTTTTCTCTGGTGATGTATGAGTTTCTTTGCATTGTCCCTGATCATTTCTAAACAATTGGAACACCAGTGGCACTGCTCACTGTTTTCCGGGCAGTTGCCTTATTTGAAGGGCTTGTGGTACAGCTACAGTTCCACCAGTTTTACAGCAGACAGACTCTGGAGACTCAAGCTATGAAGAAGTTCTGAATTATTACTCTCCAACCACATGGCAGTGATTTTACCAGCAAGATTAGAGTGCATGGCTTTAGAGACACCGTAGGAGCCAGCAATCACACTACTTTGTATGTATCCAGAAGACACAAAGTCATTGTGACTCAGCTTTCTTTACACCCTTCCTTGCACCCTTCATTCTTTTTTCTTTGCTGCATTTCATGCTCCCACCTTCAGACTTCTTCCTTTTATTGCTTTTATGTTTCTACACTTCTTCCACTTGATCATTTTCCTCATCGTGTCTTTGAAATTTTAAGTATCAGATTATAGGTCAGAAAATTAAAGTACAAAAGATGTACAGGAGAAAATAAGAGAAAAACAAGGGTAAATGAGAAGGGGAATGAGAGAAGACTTAGAAGGAAAAAAAGTAAAGCGTTTCCTGTTTTCTTCTCTTGCAGACTGGAGGAAAGCAGCGTTATACCCTGGTGAGTGACTTGGTTCCTAAAAATAACCCATTGCAACTTACTATTTTATTTCTTTTAATATTTTTTGTTCTACTTAACCATTTGTTGAACTCTTTAATTAACACACAATTATTCTTATGTGTTTAAATTTAACTGAAAAGTGATCCCTGTTAAATATAAGAATGGGAATAAGAGAGGGAGGAGAGGTATAGTTTGGCACATGCTCAATCAGACTTACCCCTAATGGTAGAGCTAGAAATGTGCCAGGGGATTCCAATTCAATCCCATCAAAGTGGCATGCATCAATGCTATTTTACTTGTTAAAGTGATCAGTTTAAGTTCATAATTGTTCAAAAAGATAGTGTCAAAGGGATTGCATAAATAAGACCAGTGTCTGAAAATAATAATTGATAGAGTTAACAGGAGAGAGTGATCCTACATGGGAAACGTGATACACTGCAGACTCATAGAATTGCAAATGCCCTAAACAGCACTCTGGCCTCAGAATCAGCCCTTAAGGCATTTGGATCTGGCTAAAAAGCCCATGAGAGTATTTCAGATATGGAAAGCCAAGACACTGGCCAAAAAAAAAAAAAAATGACCTAATGAAAGACCTCTGTGAGTGAGATCCCAGTGGAAAGAATAGGCCATCAAAGAAGGAGGTACCTTTCTCTGAAGGGAGGAGAGAACTTCCACTTTGACTATAGCTTGTCTAAATAAGATCAGAGTTTGTGAACTCAAGAGACTTTCATAGCCTTGGCAGTTCATGACAAGAGCTACAGGTTGATTACTGACATCATAAATAAGAGTGTCAATTGTTAAATGAACAACAGGAGTCACTGTGCGCCTACTCCCCATGTAGGATCTCTGTCCATAATGTGAAGTACTTTGTGAATTAATGGTAAAACTACTACTCAAACAGTACTCTATACTTTGTTTTGTTTTGTGGGTGCAGCCTGTTAAAATCTTTACTTAGTATAGAGTTGATCTTCTGTAGATAAAGATAATTGAAAATGAATCGTGATGAAGAATGGGATGGGAGAGGGAGTGGGAGATGGGATGGTTATGGGTGGGAAGGAGGTTATATGGGGAAAAGCCATCATAATCCAAAAACTGTATTTTGGAAATGTATAGTTATTAAATAAAAGTTGAAAAAATAACCCATTATTGAAGATACTATAAATGAACATCTTCAATATACAAAACATTACAAAGGAAAAGAAATCCAAATCATATCTCTCATAACATACTATACATTGGGGTGTGTATTTTGGCACAGAACTTTAGCTATGGCTTGGGACAGCTGCATCTCACACTGGAGTACTGATATGATTTCAAGTTCCTCTGTTTCCAATCCAGCTTCCTACTGATACATCTGGGAAGGTTCAGGTTTTGGCCCAAGTTTTGTTTCCCACCTCCCTCATGGGAGACGTGCATCGAGTACTGGGCTCCCGGTTTCAGCTTAGCCCATCCTCAGTCACTGTAGTAGATAGAAAAGCTCTCTCTCTCTCTCTCTCTCTCTCTCTCTCTGTATATGTGTGTGTATGTGTGTGTTTCTCTCCTCAACCCCATAGTTTTACCTGTTAAATAAACTTAAAATGTTAACACATAATGTGACTGAAACATTAAATTTTAATATTTTTAAATTTGTGTATCACTTTATATTTGAGAGAAGACAGAATAGTAACTATATACTAATTTGTGAAGAAAGAAAACAAAACAAAATTTTTCAAGTCAAATTCACCATAAATAGACCAAAGACTATTATCTTGAATAATTTTTAAATGAGGAAATAATTGGCATAGGTCAGGTCCTTAAATCTGACATAATTTGGCAGGCTATAAAATGAAGGGCAAGGATATAAATAGAATTTTGTTCAGTTGCTATTATTTTAAACTAAACCTGGGGAATTCATACTCTAAATGGTCAGGTAGCTTTCTTTCTCAGATGGTGGTTCTCATGTTGATATATTTCTTGCAGATTGGAGGAAAGAAGAGTTCCAGGCTGGTGAGTCTATGATGGTGTACAGGGATCCACATCTTTGTGGGTAGTCTCACACAAAGATGGGCAGAGGTTAGCAGAATTCACCTCGGGCCAGAGAAGCTCTCACAGAATAGTTTCTCTAGCCCCGCACTACTGAGACTTTCCCTAGTTAGATGATGATGATTCTCTTGTCTTTGCAGTAAACATGACCCTGGACGCAGAAACTGCGCATCCTGCGCTCTTCCTGTCTGAACAGAGACGTGTAACATGGCAAGAAGAGAAGCAAGATCTCCGTGACTCCCCACAGAGATTTCATTCCCTGCCCTGTGTGCTGGGTCAGCTGAGTATCACCTCGGGGAGATACTACTGGGAGGTAGAAATTGGGGACACAGCTTCCTGTGATCTGGGAATCTGTAGGGACAATGTAACAAGGAAGGGGCAAGTCACAATATCCCCACAAAATGGTTTCTGGGCCATCAGGATTTATGAGGGGGAGTACTGGGCTCTCACTTCCCCAGAAACTCGTCTTACTCTGAGACAGCACCCCCGTAGGGTAGTGATATTCCTAGATTATGAATATGGAGACGTGTCATTCTATAACATGACAGATGGGTCCCATATTTTCACCTTTACCCCGATTTTGTTCCAAGGTGCCTTAAGACCTCTTTTCAGGCTTTGGAAGTCTGACTCAGTCACCTTGACCATTGTCCACTGAAGGAGAGCAGAGTGGTGCTGTAATTCAGAAGTGTACCCTTATCACAAAATGAGAGTCTTAATGTTGATTGCAATTCTACCTAACAATCCAAAAATTGCATTTTTCTTTTTCCTTATTTGTTAATTGTCAAAATGAAGCTGAGGGGCACAGATTCTGATTTTGCATTATATTCACTTTTTTTCTCCCTTATTAATAGATCTCTTGACCTGTGACAGCCTGGTTTAAAAATTAGATTTCCTAACTCCTCGGTTGCATGTGACTAGATGTTGGCCAGTTTAATATATGTTGAATTGTGCAATCTGATTTCCAAGATTTGCCTTTAAAGGGAAATGGTATGTCTTTCTATGCTGTTTATTTTTTCTGCTGGCTAGATATGACATGATGGATATTTACTTGAAGCATATTATTGAGCATGAAATAAAACATGATTACATAAAGTTAGAATGATTTTGACAAGTTATTGTATCTACTCTTGTTTAACACAAGACATCTTTTCTTTGGATAATAAAACTTTATCTTTAAGCCATTTGTGTATTTTTGTGTGTTTTATTATGAGATCTAACTCTAACTGACACACACTCCTTTTCAGGATAGCAGCAGACTTCCACAGTTGAATATTCAGGTGAAACAGAAGGTTTAATGTCCTGACCTGCCTAGTTCACTTTTCTACTCATCCAGTGCTTACATCTCATTAGACTTTCATTTTTTTTCCTGGTCTGTCAGTCTCTCATGACTTCAATTCCCATCCTTTCCTACTTAAATAATAATGGTTAATAACTTCAAATATTTCCTTACTAGTAAATGAAAGCCCTGTCCTTGTTGTCCTTCTGTGACATCTTATCAAGACCCAAATATGGATGATTCTATCCGCTGCTCACACTAACAGCTTAACATGCTATAAAATCATACAGATGATCACACTGGTACCTTATATACTTGTTGTATCTTTCACAACTTGGATGCCAACACTATTTCCCATGCTTTTCCAGCTATCTACATTCCCTTAATTTTGTCTATAAAACTTCAAAAGAGCCCACTTACTATAACTTTAATTTCTACTCTTCCTTGTTCTCAATAAAGTACTGTGTTCTCACTTAGAAAATCAAAGTAATAATAATTAGAATCCATCAGAGAGGAACTGTCTGATTATTATAACAAAATATAAAAATTTGTATCTAAATTAGGATGTCTCCATTACTTCTCCCTTTGTTATATTAGCATAACCTCTTCCTATGTAGAGAACAACATGTATTCTCTTCCATCAATCCTATACTGACCTACATGGTATGGGGAATCATCAATTATTTCTCTTAGCTTTTATATTCTCTCCTCAGGAATCTTAAATATTATAACTATATCAATATTGAAACTGTAAGAATAAAATATTCCATGAACAATATATCCTCCTATATATTAATCTCATTTAACTTATATAATCAAAATTCTCAAAATAATTATCTAAATATGTAGTATAGAGCTGCACCAATCCGAGGCCAGGAGTCAGGAGTTTCTTCTGGGTCTCCCATGCAGGTACAGGGGCCCAAGGTCTTGGGCCATCTTTTACTGCCTTCTCAGGCCATAGCAGAGAGCTGGATCTGAAGTGGAGCACCCGGGACATGAACTAGGGTCCATAAAGTATACTGGCACTGTAGGTGGTGGCTATACCTGCTAAGCCATAGCACTGGCCCCATCATTACGTCTTTCAAGTCCAAGTATACTTTACACATGCCAGGATCTCTTTCTTAATGCTGAATGATATTTAATTTTACAAGGGTACTCTAGGGCCGGCGCTGCGGCTCAATAGGCTAATCCTCCGCCTTGCGGCACTGGCACACCGGGTTCTAGTCCCGGTCGGGGTGCTGGATTCTGTCCCAGTTGCCCCTCTTCCAGGCCAGCTCTCTGCTGTGGCCGGGGAGTGTCATGGAGGATGGCCCAGGTCCTTGGGCCCTGCACCCCATGGGAGACCAGGAGAAGCACCTGGCTCCCGGCTTCGGATCAGCGCGGTGCACCGGCCGCAGCGTACTGGCCACAGCGGCCATTGGAAGGTGAACCAATGGCCAAGGAAGACCTTTCTCTTTGTCTCTCTCTCTCATTATCCACTCTGCCTGTGAAAACAAACAAACAAACAAGAGTACTCCAAAAATTTTTCAATTAAATGTAATTAAAAGATGATCTACATGAAGGATCTCTGTAAGTGAGATCCCATGGGAAATAAGGGGCTCTCAAAGAAGGATGCACTTTTCTCTAGAGTGAAGAGAAAACTTCCACTTTGCTTATGGCACTGTCTAAATGCTGCCAGAGTTTGTGGAATCAAGAGGCTTCCATAGCCTTGGAAGCTCATGACAAGAGCCTTGGGTGATCAATGATGTCATAAGTAGGACTGTCAATTGTTAAATCAACAACAGGAGTCACTGTGCACTTACTCCCATTGGAGGACTTCTGTCCTTAATGTATTGTACTCTGAGAATTAACAATAAAACTAAACTTCAAACAACAGTACTTTATATTTTATGTGTTTGTGTGGGTGAAAATTGTTGAAATTTTAACTTAGTATAGAGTTGATCTTCTGCATATAAAAATAATTAAAAATGATTCCTAATGAGGAATGGGATGGGAGATGGAGTAGGAGGTGGGACTGTATGAGGGTGGGAGGGCAAATATGGGTGGAAGAGACACCATATTCCAAAAACTATATCTTTGAAATTTAAAAAATTGAAAAGCTTTCTTAAAAATGTTTATTTGGTGAAAAAATTGAAATTCATACATAGCTTTTTTAAACTTTTATTTAATAAATATAAATTTCCAAAGTACAGCCTTTGGGTTACAGTGGCTTTCCCCTCCCCATAACTTCCCTCCCACCCACAACCCTCCCAACTCCCGCTCCCTCTCCCATCCCATTCACATCAAGATTCATTTACAATTATCTTTATCTATAGAAGATCAATTTAGTATATATTAAGTAAATTTCAACAGTTTGCACTCACACAGAAACAAAAAGTGTAAAGTACTGTTTGATTACTAGTTATACCATTGATTAACATAGTACAACCCATTAAGGACAGAGATCCTACATGGGGAGAAAGTGCACAGTGACTCCTGCTGTTGATTTATAGATTGACACTCTTGTTTATGCATCAGTAATCACCCGAGGCACTTGTCATGTGTTGCAAAAGCTATGGAAGCTTTGTGATTTCGCCAACTCCCATCTTATTTACACAAAGTCATTGTCAAAGTAGAAGTTCTCTCTTCCCTTGAGAAAGGTACCTCCTTCTTTGATGGCCCATTCTTTCCACTGGGATCTCATTCACAGAAATCCTTCATTTAGTTCATATTTTTGCCACAGTGTTTTGGCTTTCCATGCCTGAAATACTCTCATGGGCTCTTTAGCCAGATCAAAATGCTTTAAGGGCTGATTCTGATTCCAGAATGTGATTTAGGACATCTGCCATTTTATGAATCTGCTGTGTATCCCGCTTCCCATGTTGGATCGTTCTCTCCTTTTTAATTCTATCAGTTAGTATTAGCAGACACTAGTCTTGTTTATGTGACCCTTCGACTCTTAGACCTATCATTATGATCAAGTATGAACTGAAACTGATCACTTTGACTAGTGAGATGGCATTGGTACATGCCACCTTGATGGGAAGGAATTGGATTCCCCAGGCATGTATTTAACTCAACCGTTTGGGGCAAGTCCGATTGAGCATGTGCTAAACAGTATATCTCCTCCCTCTCTTATTCCCACTCTTCTATTTAACAGGGATCACTTTTCAATAGTATTAAGTAGAACAAAAAATACTAAAAGAAATAAAGTATTAAGTTGTTCCTGAACATTCAACACAATGGCTGATCAAGTCATTGTTTCCCATAGTATCCATTTCACTACAACAGGTTTCCCCTTTGGTGCTCAGTTAGTTGTCAACAATCAGGGAGAACATATGATATTTGTCGCTTTGGGACTGGCTTAATTCACTCAGAATAATGTTTTCCAGATTCCTCCATTTTGTTGCAAATGATCGGATTTCATTGTTTTGATTGCTGCATAGTATTCTGTAGAGTACATGTCCCATAATTTCTTTATCCAGTCTACTGTTGATGGGCATTTAGGTTGATTCCAGGTCTTAGCTATTGTGAATTGAGCTGCAACAAACATTAAGGGGAAGACCACTTTTTTTTTTGTTTGCCAATTTAATTTCCTTTGGATAAATTCCAAGGAGTGGGATGGCTGGGTTGTATGCTACGGTTATCTTCAGGTTTCTGAGGAATCTCCAGATGGACTTCCATAGTGGCTTGACCAGTTTGCATTCCCACCAACAGTGGGTTAGTGTCCCTTTTCCCCCACATCCTCTCCAGCATCTGTTGTTGGTAGATTTCTGAATGTGAGCCATTCTAATCGGGTTGAGGTGAAACCTCATTATGGTTTTGAAATGCATGTTCCTGATTGCTAGTGATCTTGAACATTTTGTCATGTGTCTGTTGGCCATTTGGATTTCCTCTTTTGAAAACTGTCTGTTGAGGTCCTTGGCCTATCTCTTAATTGGGTTGTTGGTTTTGTTTTTGTGGAGTTTCTTGATTTCTTTGTAGATTCTGGTTCTGGTTATTAATCCTTTATCTGTTGCATAATTTGCAAATATTTTTTCCCATTTTGTTGGTTGTCTCTTCACTCTCCTGACTGTTTCTTTTGCAGTACAGAAACTTCTCAATTTGATGTAATCCCAATTGTTAATTTTGGCTTTGACTGCCTGTGTCCCCGGTGTCTTTTCCAAGAAGTCTTTGCCTGTGCCTATATCTTGCATGGTTTCTCCAATATTCTCAAATAATTTGACAGTGCCTTGTCGTAGACTTAGATTTTTAATCCATGTAGAGTGGATTTTTGTATTAGGTGAAAGGTAGGACTCTTGCTTCATGCTTCTGCACATGGAAATCCAGTTTTCCTAGCACCATTTATTGAATAGACTGTCCTTGCTCCAGGAATTGGTTTTAGATCCTTGATCAAATATAAGTTGGCTGTAGATGTTTTGATTGATTTCTGGTGTTTCTATTCTGTTCCATTGGTCTATACACCCCTTTCTGTACCAGTACCATGCTGTTTTGATTATAACTGCCCTGTAATATGTCCTGAAATCTGGCATTGTGATGCCTCCGGCTTTGTTTTTGTTGTACAAGATTGTTTTAGCTATTTGAGGTTTCCTGTGTCTCCGTTGAATTTCACCATAATTTTCACAGATCTGAACAATTTCTTTGGAATTTTGATAGGTATCACATTGAATCTATAAATTGCTTTTGGGAAAGTGGACATTTTGATGATATTTATTGTTCCAAACCATTAGCATGGAAGATTTTTCCATTTTTTTGGTATCTTCTTCTATTTCTTTCTTTAAGATTTTGTAATTTTCATCGTAGAG